CGATCAATAACAGTTACATTCTTGTGTAAATCATACTGCAATGAAAAATACTTTGACACATTGCTTTTGTCCCTACTTCCATATCCGTCATCAGTCAAACATGTCAGACATGTGATAACATACAAAGATAAGCAAGGCTTTATGGACTTCTCAGAAATTAGGATTCACAGATAAACAGAAACGCAAGCGAATACTGGCGTGAAAATACATTTGTGAACTGAAATGTTGGTTTATATGTTTGTCTGGAAGAAAATCTGATGAAATATCTCTAACAAATGATGTGAACCTTTTTTCCTTTGTTCTTTAAAATCCTCTAACAAGATGCTTTGGTGTAATTTCGTCCTATACACAATCACCAAATCGTCTGGATTTGAGGGCTAAGCCCTCTGTCGTTCTCCTAAATCTTTCCCGAGAGAGAAAGCCAGACTGGTGTTTGGTATTCAGCTGCTTCGTGGAGTTTATCATAAGATTTTAAATGTATACATTGTACACACAAGATAATGAATTTAGATGCGTCTGTCCTGCAGTAATAATCCTTGGAGTATTTTCAGTCATCAACACGGTTGACCCGAATCATTACATCATCAAAACATGAACCTGCTCTGACTATGTGTACATGCACATTAAGTATCAGAATGTGTTCATATTCTTCTTATGTTAATGTTAAGTGTTAACTTGACTTTCATAATCCAATTATACAAATATTCTGGTTTCTAGAAATCTGAATAAGAGCTGTCATATACTAGTATTAAAGGGATAGTTCACCCAAAAATGAAAATGTGAGGTTTATCTGCTTACCCCCAGGGCATCCAAGATGTAGGTGACTTTGTTTCTTCAGTAGAACACATATGAGGATTTTTAACTCCAACCATTGCAGTCTATCAGTCTTATAATACATGGCAATGGTAACAAAATCTATGAGAGTAAAAAAAAACATGCACAGACAAATCCAAATTAAACCCTGCGGCTCGTGACGACACATTGATGTCCTAAGACACGAAATGATCGGTTTGTGCGAGAAACCGAACAGTATTTATATAATTTTTTACCTCTAATACACCACTATGTCCAACTGTCTTTGGGCACGCGCACGGCATCCGGTGCGTGAGGTGTGCACGCGCTCTGGCATAGTTTACGTTAATGGGTGTGTTGATATCCAGCCGAAGAGCAATCAACCATAACTTCAGATGAGCAGGCTCAGAAGTTGGGAATACGTGGAAAGTCACCACTCCCGAATGAGTTCGCGCGAGAGAACATAATCTTTTAGTTTTAAGTCGGTTTGAACAATCCGGATAAGTGGAAGTAAGTACCATTTTGATTAGCCGTCGTACCTACAATGTTTTTGCACTGTGTAAACAATGAGTGACGTATACGCGCGAGAGATCACTTCCGGCGCTTGTGTAAACTATGCCAGAGCGCGTATACACACCTCACGCACCGGATGCCGTGCGCGCGCC